TCGGACCCTGAGAGACTCTCGTCGAGGTCTCCTACCAACTTCTCGAACTCAATTTCCGTAACAGCTTTTGCCCCTCGAATCTTTTGCTTTAAATTATAGTTGTGGAAATCCGATCGTACATGACTCTTTTGGTCGCCCACAGTATAAAACGTTACACCGCATAGCGAACAGGACTTTGATCCCACATCTCCGGGTTTGGTTTGTATAACTCGCTCGGTCGTGTCTGTAGGTGGATTGGTATCTGCTTGGTAGGTGTCGTCATTGGAGTCGTTGGAATCGTCTTTGCGCGCAAGTGTTGATAAAATATCTTGTGGAAGGTCATAGACTATTGCTTGTTAGCTTGGAAATTCGCGCCAAAAAATTGTATTCCTACCGTATAATGGCCTTCTTGTTATATCCTCCTTTCGTTGTTCCATTTTGACGATGCGAAAGCCGTTCGTTTGTGTGAGGTGGGGTGGATGGATGACTGTTTGAAGTTGAGATTGTGCGCTTTACTGCTGATTGAGTATTTCGTTGATAGTTTTATCCAGTGTTGGTTGACTCGTATAGGTGTATATGCCGCTGAATAGCAAAGAAACAAAAAGCCGAGAAGAATATTTTGGTATGACGACAGTACGTATTCGAAAATTAAAAATGTTCGCCGGTAAGGTACCTACGTGCGATCTCAATCTCATCTGAGCCAACTCCTTATCTCCACGTGACTTTCCAGCTAGCCCGGTCTTTAGTTTATCCTAGCGCCAACGATCCATGACATCAACCATCTTTGATGACGTAGATCAGACTAGGCCCCAGCCTCAGTTGGCTAAGGAGAAGAGGCGTTATCGGCATTTATTGTCAAACAACAAAAACAACAAAAGCAAGGAAAGGTGTCTCGGGAGTATTTGCTCCCTCAAGTTCTGACACATAATTATCAATTAAAGGAATACAAATCAAGATAGTAATCCTTTCTAACCAATTGCAGTTATTGAGTAACTGTGGAGTTGATCTACATTGTATGCAGCTTGATCCCGTCGACAATCCGATTCTTCAAATTCCCATATTCTCCTCAGACTCCAGACCCCTTCAATCTCAAAGATCCACCTTCGATTCTCCACAATCACCATCACCATATCCCAAAATGTCTTCATGTTTTGGCTCAAGAAAATCAAAAGGTGATGATACTCGTCCGCTATTGCCTCAATATGAGGATGATACTTCATTGCAGAGAACGGTTCACCAGAAATTGCATACGTATCAGATGATTAGAGCTTTATCCAAGGGATTTATGCCATCCACTGAACAAGCAATAATCAATTTGAGAACTTTATTGGCATCAGATGTTTTGAATCCGGACAATCCAGAATTGACAGATAGTGGAAGACGATTGATTAAATTCTCGAAGCAATGGCTTACGGAATTCATTGAATTGTTACGAAATAAGAATGATGGAGATCAGATTCAAGACTTTATATGGTTCTTGATACACTCAAGAATCTCTGTCAACACATCAGATCTTATTGAAAGAGCCACAAGCACAAGAGCAAAGGCAGATGCCTCAGCTGGTAAGTATTGTCTATTATATATACAGTCTCCTGATATCTGACCAGTCGCAGCATACGCAAGTATCAAAACTGTTGGTAGTCTTCTATTGACAAACTCTGATTTTCGAATATTCCTCTCAGACCTCAATACCATTGGTCGACAGGTCTTTGCAGATACAGCAAAGACGGTATCAGATGTTGCAGAAGATGCTGCGAATAAAATCGAGCCATCGGATGTCGAAAATGAAGCAATGAAGAAGCCAGGAGAGGAGCGAAGCGAGCCTATTCCCAAAGAAGACCTCCAAGCTGAAGCAAGTGAGATAGGCGAAGTCGTCACAAATGGCTTCAAAAAGGCAGGTAGACAAGCAGGTGAAAGTTTGAAGGAAAACATTTCTGGAGAGCAGAGAGAGACCTTACGATATCGCTTAAAAGAAGCGGTTACCAAATTGACAAAACGAAATGATTATTCGGATTCGGTCAACACAATTGGTCTTCTCATTCAAAGATACGCCAAAGCTTATTCCAGAGCTGTGGATGAATCTATCAGCGCTGTTCAGGATGATGTTGAACCGAACCCAGCCCTTGATCGTGCAGTGAAGAATGGTTGGTCTTTAATGAGTTCTTTTGGTGACAAGGATGCATGGAAAGAACTTGAGAAGCGATTCAACAAAGTTATGGAGCACTCTCAAAAAGATCCCGAATTCGAAAACCTCATGGGAGAATTGGCAAAATCAATTCAACAAATGCTTTCCGATCCAGAATTCTTCGATGCTGCCGCCAATAAGATCGAGGAATTGAAAGAAAAAACCAAGGAAGTGGGCACCGAATCTCCTCTGCGAAAGGATATTGATAATTTGCTCAAACAAGCACGCACAACATTCGATTCAGTGATGAATGATCAAGACGTTTCTAAACTGATCCACACAACGTTGAAAATATGGAACATTCTCAACCCACTCAATAAAACCTCCAACACCGAGCTCTTCACTGATCTCTCTACCGTATTAATACCCATGTTCATATCCGCCATTCAATATGTACCAATTCCTCGTCTCGAGATATCCGTCCCAGAAATTGATCTTCTTCTTGAGAATCTCATCCTCGAACCCGGTAGAACTATTAATCATACCAGTTTTCTACCATATCGGCTCAAGATCCAAACCTATAATGATCTCTCAATTCAAAAAGCTCGATTCCGTACCTTTTCAACGGTGACTTCTGTGGTAACAGTCAAGATTCAAGGACTGTCGATCAAAGCAGATGAAGTTGGATTCTGGCTCCGAGCACACAAAAGTTTGTTTTGGTTAGCCGATGAAGGAATCGCTTCTTTCGAGCTTGATGATAGGGGTATCGACATCGAGTTCGATGTTGAAATCGGCCACAACAAACTTGAGAAAATACTCACTTTGAAAGATACACGTGTTAAGATCCATCATCTTTCATACAAACTCAGCAAATCAAAGTTCGCTTGCTTGGCCTGGTACGTTCTCTTTCATATTTAATCACTCATTGATATACTAACTCAGACCCCAGGATTTTCAAACCCCTCCTTCGTCCTATCCTCCGCAAAACTCTAGAATACCAACTTTCCACCGCCTTGGCCGATTTCTTCCATGCTGCCAATCGCGAACTCCTCTATGCACGTGAACGTCTCCGTGCAACTAGAATATCATCTCCAGATGATATTCAAACCTTTATTAAAGCAATCATCACGAGATTGAAGCCAGAAGAAGATCCGGATCTGTATCTAAATGTGGGAGTTCAAGGGGGTGCAAAGAGTAAAGGAAATGTTTTCAAGGGCGTTTATGCGCCAGGTAGTGTTGTCAAAGTTTGGGAGAGGGAGGGCAGGGGCGCAGAGGAGATCGTGGAGGGAGAGGCAGAAAATAACGGCGGTTGGAGAAATGCAGTATTTGACGTTGGAGGACAGGGACAAGGGGTTATGGGTTGGTAGGGAGGGACATGTGGAACGACGCTATGGATATCGCAAAGGCAAGGTAAAGCCAGGGAGGAATAAAATTGTAAGATATATGACCACAGTTCCCATGTGGACTCGGTTTCCGGCGATTAATCTTTTCTTTTTTTCTTTTTTCTTGACTTACTGACATCGTACGCATCATGGGATTTGGACGGCATGGAAGGTACACAATTGATATTAGCAGGGTATGGTATCATAATATTGTGGGAAGGCGCAGGCGCGGAATTCTTTATTTCAAACAGAAAACACAATGAAAATCAATTTCAACCATGTTCCAAGTCTAGCCAAAGGAATGCATGAATGTGGAAAGTGAGCTGGCTAAGTTGCTACTCTCACACAGATTAATGGCCAACATATAACATGAACTTGAATTCGGAAATTGTCTGGTTCTACTACTTCGAACAACAAATTCTCCAAAGGCAGTTATAAACAGTCGCAACATTGAAGAATTCCTGAACTTAATCTTTACTTTATAAAATGTTCATTGGCTTCATTCGCTTCAACGCACATTCTGAAAACCATCTACCATGGTAGCCTGTCCTTTTTCAATCAATTCTTCTTTCAACTTTGAGCCACCCAAAATTTATCGCCAGACTGACAGCAGTGTCGTATCCTAGCATCAGTTCCTTCTAACATCTCCTTCCATGGTAGTAGCGCAAAATTCTCAACTCTATATCCCACCTTCCAATCCCTTTCTCAAAGCAGTTTTGAACCCATAAATCTGCACTTTATCCCAATCCCACACACCACTGTTGGTATATTCATCCTGACGCAGCTGCTCCAACACTTTTTCCTTACTCTCCGCATAGGCTAGAAGCACTGTTCCTTTTACTTGAGGCGTCTCCCCATCTGGAGGTAGATCATCAAAGAATGCGCCTCCGAAAAGAATGGCTCCAGCTTCGGCTAGCGGCTTTACGCCGGCGAGATGCTGGGGACGGGCTTCGAGAAGTTTTTGGAGCACGTCTTTGTGGTCGGGGAGAATAACTAGCCATTCGTGTTTGCTGGGTGATGGAGTGGGAGTGGGGGTGGTCATGATTTTTGGGATTTATGCTGTGGGGTTCGGTTGTAGGATGAAGGTATGAAGAGATAAAAGTAAGAAGGATGATGAAAGGTGTTGTAGTTCGTTTTATACTCCGTCTGAGATTTGGTGCAAAGGTTGTGGCATATGCGGCACAGAGAATGTATTTGTCATGTCCCCTTACCCGGTACCTTGCCTGATTGACTACATGCAATACAATAGCAGAACTTGACCAGGATGGATGCGGACTCCAAATTCTGGCACAAGGCCTAGAATTACATTCTTCCAGCGGAAATTTGCGGGATTGACAAGTGTTATTGCCTTTGCTAAAATAGACCTCCCTAGGTCTCCAGGCTACTTGTTGTGATGTACTTAACTTCTTCATCTTAAATTCTTCTCTCATCCAGTTAATAGTGCAGAGACATAGTTTGCTGTTATACTACCATGACTATACAGTGTATAATGCGGCGCTGAACGGGTAGCAGGTTTACCAGCTCTTCTCCCTATGGTCTTCCCGAGTGAAATCTCTCTTCGCTGTTGCGGTTCCAGGAACAGGATGGAGTTCTTGTCGAGAGTTGGTGCTCGAGGATTTCCTGGCCACTGTTACTTCTCTTGTGCCAGCCGGTTTGCAATTTGCAAGGTAGAAGTTATCCACATTGCTATCTTCGATTTTGGTTGTTCCTTTCCGGCTAGCATTAGATGATCGAGTGACTCGAGTCCAAGATACGCCCACTAGGCTCACGCAATCCCGAAAATGTCTCAGAGGCTTGACAAGTGGTGAATAGATCGGCATACATGCCACAAAGCAGCCTACGGCAGGATCTATCACCGTCCATGAAAATTTGCTTGTAAACCCTGTGAATGCAAGTCAGCGACAGCTACTTGAAAGATTTGCAGATGTGAAGCTCACAAGTGACGTCTGGCAAAGTTAGGCCGTATTCCAATACTTCGCTCGAGATAACAGCAAGACGGATAATCGCGATGATTATAGTACTTTATCAACGGCTAACCCGGATCACAAAATATATGACAGATAGAGTGACTTACAATGCACCGACTGCAAAGATTGCCATCACACCTATTCTCTTGCGAAGCGAAAGGTGAAGCTTATAAACAGCATTTATTGGGAGTGTTTAAAATCCATACATCGAAGGCAACGTTGAAGGCTTGAGCACCCAAGACAAGGTCGATAAAATCGAGACATTCGCCCGGGGCGGTTTTGATCTAGGCTTTCCAGACAGGCCTGCGCATGGTTATAGAGATTCGGAAACTCCATGTTATGAAAATGCGATGTTACAAATAAGAATGGAAATCTCTGTAGCGATATCATATATGATCCTTTAAAACTACTTATGTGACTTAGGTTGATCGGTGCCAAACGGTCGTCGCCTCCTTCTTATCATGAGATGACACACAAGCTGGCCATGTAATCAATGGTACGGATACTCTAAACTATGTATACTGAATCTAGTGGGCATTACATCCATGTAGCTTTGCCAGTCTACTTCAATCAAGTATTTCTTGGTTGCGAGACAAGGCGGGTCGCAGTGTGTTGATATCGTGTGCCAATAATTCGGCTACGCTGCTTCGGATGAAATAACCGAGTTTTCACGATCTTTTCGAAGTGTCTCCACACGTATTGCAGTCATGAAAAAAAAATGCAGGTGGAACTTTCGTATACATTCTTAAATAAGGAATTTCATAAAGCTCAGTATAATATCTAGGGTTTATCCAGATAAAACTTATTTCATCTGCAACACATGTATCAATGATTGCCATTTCAGACCACTGCGTTGCGCAACAATTTAAGTGAGAGATGCCCCGCTTCCAACGGTTGGTCAGTACTGTTAACGACTCCCTCCTACCGTATCATATTCGTGCCATGTAAGCGCAGATAAGGATTGATTTCCCTGTTCTCTTATGCGGCGCAAGTCTCATCTTTCTTCCTGACCCAAATATAAAATACTCTTGCAACACTTTCCTTTTCTTTCCCAGTCTCGTTTTTGCAATTCAAAGTACTAGCACAGTACTACATCCGAAATATCATTCTCTATTATGTTCCCAATAAAATACGAGTGGAACGTTATTATTCTACACCCTCGTGAAGCTTTTCAAAAGTGTTTCGAAGTGTTCCCTCAGTATTTTTCTGGTATCAAACTTTTAATTGAAGTGGAAATCTTCTGTTTGATGGTGCATTTTTTTTTGATTCAGTTGATATATTGACAAACGAGCAGGCGCAGATCAAAGGAATAGTGCTTTTGGTATGTGCGGAGAGTAAAGAGGAAGTATTGGAACAATTGAAGAAAAATGTATGTATGGAAAGTAGGGTAGAGAATCAGAAGAAGATGTAGATTTGGGGGTTTAAGACAGCGATGAGGAAGGGACTGGGAGGGAAGGCATAGATTTGGGGATTGCAGTAGATTTTGGACTTCCAGATCACAGGAACCTTCACTGGATAGCTTGGTTATAGGATTGGCAGTAAATTTGACCGGTGTAAGTCGGCAATTTTGTTGCGGGACGAAATAATGCTAATAAAAGAATTTAGGATTTTGAGTAAAGGAAGTAGTATTCTATATTATGCAACCATCGATAGGAACTAAAGGGGGGGAAATTATGTGACAAAATGCGTATCCATAATCCTGACAGAAAACGAGATCATCGATCTGTCTTTTTATCTGAACAGAGACCTTGAAATACAAGACAAGCCAAATGCCTAATTTGCGATTCGTATACTTCGCTGCGTTTATTTTTATGCTCTCTTCGCTCCCCTTAGGTGATGTGCAGTTTAGCACCAGACAGTAGACCTTCTTCCCCAGAATCCATATCAACAAACTTTGTGACCACCTTTCTTACAAATAGCTTAAACCCATGCTTTGCAGGATTGAAAGATTATATCATGGCTTGCTTAAACACTTGATTGGAAGATCAAGTATATAATGAAGGCTTTGCATATCTCTTTTCTCGAGCGACTGATGCAGTGTAGAAGCATTTTGAGAAGGCCCTACAAAACCTAATCCGGAGGATAACATCGACCAGTTCGATTGTATGCCTGTTGCGAATCTTTTTTGTATAGATTTAATAGGCTGAATATAGGTGACCCTGGTACAAGCATCAATGACTCCGTCCAACAGAGACCTTGATTTACTTCTTTTGTAATACAAGAGATTATCCAGATTGCTTGGCCAAGGAAACAAAATCTTCTTGGTGATTTCCCGAAACTTTTCCGTAAATATTGCAGCGACAGGGAAATTTAACAGAGATTGCTCCAATACCTCTGTAGTAAGTCTAACAGCTTCTTCATCATTTCTTCCCAGTTCTCTATTGATCTTGGGGGAAAACCGAACGACGATATCTGTCAGGTTCAGTATAGCGAATACTTGTAAGACAGGCTGGTAGGCACAACTGTAGTGAGCACGATAGCTATCAACGACAGCAAGACCTTGTTGTGCGTGTTGCCAAACGATTGAACTTAGGCAAGAGGTATCGAACAGTCCGAAGTCTAGAAGCGGATAGAGGAGCTGGACAACGGCTGTAGCGTATAACAAACTGATCTTTTAGTGAGTGTGAAATTGTATTAGGAAGTCTTTTGAGTCTTACTGAAGCGAAAGCACATGGGGTAACATCTGCGTGTCTTTGTTGTCTGTCTTACTGATGATACTTGGCAGAAATTTACGCCAAGCTACCAATTTACCATAGAGATGCAGAATGTCTGAGGCCGCTATTCGAGAACTGTCGGTATTATACATCAGAATATTAGCAGTCCGAATTATGGCCATAAGACTCATTTTCTCTCGATTGGTTGTTGCAATGAGGCAGTGGCAATTCGTGACGGTATCATCATCCTTAGGATATCTATACATTCCCCATATCATATTATCAATTTCGGCTTCGTTTTTTTGGCTTTCCTCGATGGATTTCGTTTCAGGAACCTCTACAATGAGAGCCGCTGGCATCCTGAAAGTTACCTGAGCCCACTCACTAAAATTGTTAGTTATGATAACATACATGCTCAATTGTTGAAAAGTCATTAACTTACATATTTAAGTTATTAATGCCAACGACGGTGTCACGCCAAACTTGCCGGTACGCCTCACTGACAAGGCCGATTTGTTCCAGATTCATTAATGAGTTACTTGCGACTTCCAAGTATGCTGAGGCATTCATCCCATATCCTTGCGCGCAGTCTATCAAGAAGAGAATTGCAAAAGCTTGTATAGTCATGAGACTCATATCTTCGGCATCGATATTGTGCTTTACCATATCAGCAAATTTCTGGCCTAGCTCCTTGTAATTCGTCTTGTCGCTTTCCAAGATTGTATGCAAATAGCATGCCATTGTGCAGATAGCATTGAATAGAAGGGGCGAGCAAAACTCATCTGAATTGTTCTGCATGCTATTTACAAAATGCTGCTCATTGAATAGGGAATGAGAAGGGTGGACCCAAGTAAAATATAAGGAGAATAAGTGATGGAGAACATCTTCATCTGCAGTCACTGTTGTCCAATGGAAATCTGATGTCTCTAGACCATCAACTTCATTGTCATTAATTCGCAACGTAGATAGCTGCTCTTTGACATCGACAGTGGTTTCTAGCCATTTTGCTATATCTTGAATAGAGTCTCTGTTCCTTATTCGATTAAGGATTTCGCGTTCATCATCCGCTACTGCAAGGCTTTCAAACACCTGTTCTGCCATGCGGTTGATTGCATGGCTCTCTTTGAGTGATTCGACTAGTTTCTCCTTCACAATTTTGGTATGAGTTTCATAGAAGCATTCTCCAGCTTGTAATTTCTTGATACAACGACTGCAAGGCTGCTCGCCATTACACTGAACAGAACTGTCAGTAGATTAAACTTTGGGCTGTAGTATTTTCGCTCCTCCAATGCTGCAGACTATATACCTTTGATCGGGCTATTTTACAACTGTTGCATGCATTTGACGTTATCAAACATCCTCTTTTACGTTTAGAAACCTTCTTTCCCTCACTATGGATACCGGCGGATGGTTGTGTGTTGGCTGAGCTTTCATCCTGACCGTTGGATATATCCTCGTTTTTGGAACGCGGAAGAGAGCTGAGCAGCATTTTCAGGATTTTGGAATATTGCTTTCAGTCGAAGTATGCGACGACCGTCTGGCAATGGTGTGAAAACATAGTTTGCTATCATTTTGGGGTTTGAGTTCTCCGGACAAGAACCTCTGTGTAAGATCTGGCTGCCCTTGTGTAATTTTCCGTTAATCATCGATTTTAGCCATGTATCACCATTCTTTCTATTACAGCTGTACCGACGTACTTGGCAGGTATTATGAATCCACTTGCGAGCCTGCCAAATGAATACATCTGTCAATCGAACGATCTAACCTGTCTAAGCGAGAACTCTAATAGATCATGTCACTATGAATACCTATCAGAACAGCGTTGTTAAAGCAGCGAGTGCTGTTTATGTGGCAGGTGCGTAGGGTAGATATTTATTGTTATGGATTAGAATTACATATCGTATATGAAGTGGGCAATAGCTAAGTAGGTATCTAATAAACAAAGGTCGAAGCGCCAGTCAGATGTTGATTTTACCGATTGAAGTCTGCTTTCTTTTTTACGTCGATGTATAAAATCGTGGAAAGAGCTTCCGAAGGCCCTAGTGTTACCACTAAGAAACACTACTTCCCACTTTACCAAGCACGATACAATACAAAAATTGAACCGAATACAGTTTTTGGCATCTTTCATACTACAGCATACCATGATTGGAAGATTAGGAAAATCTTCGTACGGTACGCTGCTTCAGTGCTCTCGAAGTAGTGTCCCAGCTCTTACCACGAAACCAATGACCTTAAGCCACCGTCACATTCACATGTCACCCTCACCATCGCTCAAATCATCATCGACCACACCGCCCATTCCCCTCGTTGGTCTTGGAGTATTTATCATCCATCCTACTCACCCGCTTTCCACGCGCGAGAATCCTATGTATCTCCTCGGCGAACGCATTAATTCGACTGCAGCCAACACGTGGGGTCTTCCAGGCGGACACTTAGAATTCGGCGAAACTTTTGAAGAAGGTGCATCCAGAGAGGTTTTGGAAGAAACCGGGTTATGTATTCCACCCAAAGAACTGAAGTTTTTTCGCTGTAGAAACCTGATAATGAAGGAGGAAAAAAGACATTTCGTGTCAGTTTTTATGGTAGGAGTTTGGGATGGGAAGGGGGAAGGACCAAAAGTGATGGAGAAGGAAAAGTGTAGAGGGTGGGAGTGGGTGAGTTGGGAAGAAACGAAAGAGTGGGTTGAGCTGAAGAATGCTGGAAGGAAGCTATTTCCAGGGATGGGGAGCTTGATTAAAGAACTGAACGGCGTGGCTCCTCCATCGTGACATGGGGTTTATAGAGGCCATTTGAGCATTTGGGAACCCGAAGTCGTACAGGCTGTATTCAGGCTTATGCAACACTTTCAAGTATTCTCGGTACGATGTCCAAATGCGTAGTGTACACAGCATATAAGACTACGTCGAGAAAGTCATACCATTTCTACCTCAAGGCAAGCGTGCCTGAATTTTAATCGTGCTCTTCGAAGTTGTCAGCACCAGGCTATCCACTATTAATCAAGATTATTGCAAAGATTCTCTGAGTGATGAGTAAATATTATCAAGATGTCCTGGTGGTCTAATTATTCCGATAAATTTCAGTACGACGACCTCTCAGAGGCTGATTCGATTCGACTTTTACTCCTCCACCCAGGCACACTAGGATCCCCAATTCAAAGTGATCTCATTCACACATCATTAAGTGAATGTCGCTGCGACATCCATGGGAATTGCACAGCTCTTTCCTATGTTTGGGGCGATGCAAATGATACAATCCACATTTTTGTTAATGGATTTCGATTTGTTGTTACCGCGAATCTCGCCGCAGCTTTACATGATTTGTGCGATGAGAAGCGACAGCTACGGCTATGGGCCGATGCTGTTTGTATCAACCAGAAGAACAATGTTGAATGCAGTCAGCAAGTTGGCTTGACGAAGGAAATATATAGCTATGCTCAGAACACAGTGGTTTATTTAGGAGCTTTGGTAGAACGGACGAAGTGTTTATTTGAGCTCATGCACTAACGAGATCCGGACAGAACCAAGTTTTTAATAATGGCTGATGACGCACTTAATGATATCGTGTCAAGACCATGGTTTACTAGGGTCCGGGTGTATCAAGAACTAGTTCTTTCAAATATGGTATTTGTGCAACTTGGACGAATGTGAGTTCCTTGGGATTATCTCTGCGAGGTTTTGTTGGACAGATATAGAGACCCGAGAGAGCGAAATAATCCTCCCAAGAATAGAACAATATTATCAACGCCCACGTTGGATGTATGCCACGACAAAGACTTAGATATATATCCGATCCCATCCGAAGACCTGTCTTTATCTCCCGAAATGACTGTGATAAGTTGGTTATCCGAGTTCATACGAGATCCGATGAATACTTTCGACTCTTTCAGAGGCTTTTTTACTGTATACCATTGCACATATCTTGGCAAAGCATGGGTTGACCATTCATTAATATCGAGAACCATAGAAGTGTGTATTGGAAATACATCACACCTGTATAGCACAACCAATGGTCCTAGTTTCAATGATAAGTGCATCGCCTTGGATATCATTTGCCATTTACTCTAATCTCTGAACCAAAGATCCCCAATTCGAACTCTAGACTTCTTGTTTTCTCATCAAATACCATCTGTTCCTCAAAACAACCCTCCGACTCTCATTTACCTCCGTAAATCCGAACAATAAACACCTCAATGACCCTCTACTAAAAACTCTCCACCTTTCACCCATCCGCTCTTTGTTCCTCAATACCCCCTCATGACTTTTCATCTCACTTCACAGACCTCAAACACAAACCACGAATCATACGCCAACAGTTCACTCCGCAAGACTTTCCACCCTAATCAATGTAAACTCCTCACTATCTGCCCATCTCTCTCGCCCATTAACCCTCATCTCTATACACAATTTTGCACAAACATACATCTCCCCTCAAATCTCTCCTCTCCTCACATCCCACATCTCATCTCTAAACCACTTATCCATCTATTCATTCCAACATAATCATCTGTATAGCTACCTTCTATCTTCTCATCCAGTAACAAACCATCCCACAACATGGCATCTACCAAAGTAACCACTGCTCTTATTCTTCTCCTCCTCTTGTATAGAAGAACACACAACAAACCCCAGAAACTCCCAGAAATCCGAGATCCATCCTCCTGACAAGCGCACAGCTACTCACTTGCAGCTACCAGCTACCAGATACCAACTACATCACTGCACCCAAAGACAGAGAAAAGAATAACAAACTGCGTATAAACCACAACACCCGAAATGACTCCAAGATGTATATCTGCATAACCTTGTATATCCACAAGAATTCAGAGATCTGTAAATGATCGAATAATTAGGTAATGAGACGGAACTACTAGATACATTTCATTTCCACGCCTGGGCATTCAAAATTCAATAGATGTGAAAGATATGCATTCGCCTAACCATCTGACAATCCTCTCTCGTCTCCCCTCTCCCCTCTCACCTCTATCTCATCACTCCATCCATTTCCCATTTCCTGTCTTCCAAACCATGAGATGCAAACCACAATAAACCGAGTGTATACGTGTATCATGAACACAACTGTGTATTCACCCATCACTCATCACCCCCCCACCATATATCCATGCACGTATCGACTTGACAGTCCATATCTCCATCTACCCTCCTTCTCCTCCATACTCTCAATACTGTGATTAATTGGACAGACATACACATTTTATATCCATCCCATTTCCAAAACCTAAAGTACCTATTTGATCTATACATGATATTCACGAATCAACACTTAGGCAAGGAACCGAGGAATCACAATATCACAACACCACCACATCACCAAATCAAACAATCAAACAATCATTAAAAAATTACTTTCAACAATATATTCATCCATCCACAATTCCATCCACAATTCCAACGCATTCCAATGCTCCTCCTTCTTTCCCTTCAAATCAATAATCATTCAAGATACAGATCAACTCACTCTTTTATCCATGTACTTCACTCCACTTCACTTCACTTCTTCTCATTTCATAACTTCCCTTCCTATCCCATCTCCTAATCTCAATCTACATCCGCTCTGCTCTACTATTTTTCACCCTGTTCTACCCCAACCTCCCCTTTCGCTTCCATTCTCGCTTCGTCATCCACCAACACATTTTTCTCCATCCCCTCTTCCCACCTCAAGCTCTCCTTCAAAAAAGACTAAAAGAAAATCCTCTCAAAGAAAGTTCCATCGACACTTCACCCACACCCCAAACGCCAGTCGTCCCACCGTCTCACGGCATGTGTATATTTTGAGCTCCATCCCATTATATTCCGAACCCAAAACGCTTAGTCCACAGCCCTCAACCCAAAATTCTGTGAACAAACGAAAAAGTAAAACTTCCTCCCTCCAAGTAATGCTACTACAAATGAAAAATGGAACAAAAGAAAATCCTGTCATGCTAAATGCCAGTGCCATGTCTGTGTAAAAACCAAGTATCCACCTGTTCCGCGACCCCATAAATAAATTATCTCTTCAAATCCTCCCAATCACCCAACAACAGCCTCCCCTTCTACTCGTCCACCTCCCTGACCCAACAAATTCAATTTCGAACTACTTCCCCCTGACCCCCTAATCCTCCCAAACTACCCATTGAGTTTCTGTTCTTCTTCTTCGCCTTCACAACGCTCTGAGCATCCTTCTTCTTCGCATCGGCAGAATCTTTTTCCGCTGCTTGTTGTGAACTAAAATCTTTCCATTTGCGCCAACCATCAAAATCGATCAATGCTTGCATGCATCCCCATTCCATAACTTTACGTTCGAGCCACACGAAGTTGACGGGCTGTGCAAAAGTGTGTTAGTACATCATTCAATAGATTATATATGTAAACGAATTACGATGGAATAAACAAACCTTTGTCAAGAAATCATTACAACCCGCCGCCAACGCCTCATGTCTATCACTCTGCAACGAACTAGCCGTCAAAGCCACAATAATGACCGGACTCTTGAATAATACTGTACTTGGCAATCTATCACTTTCCTCTGGTTCCTCTTCCGCCGATGTTTTTTCGCTAGGTGCACTGCTACTTGCACTACTGCTAAAAACTCCAATACTATTGAGCCTCTCCAGTCTGCGGATTTCCTTCGTGGCCTCGAGTCCGGACATGATGGGAAGTTGGATATCCATGAGTACTAAATGGAAACCACCGCCTCTCCACTTATTCACGGCTTCGCGACCGTTCATTGCAGTTTGCCAGCGGACTTTAAGACGTTTCATGAAAGCTTCCAGAAGTTTCAAATTGATAATGTTATCTTCAACGATGAGAACATTGATTGGGGGGACGGCACCATTGAGCATGCCTGCTGGTAAAGAAGGATGATCGACACCAACTTTCTTTCTAGTTCTTTTTTGTGGCCGAGGGGACGATACTCTGGGAGGAGGTGTAGCGACTCGTTGTGGTGCAAGTTCCTGGTTTGGAGCAGGTGGTGTTGGAAGTGGTGGGGGAGGGGGAATTGCGGATTTTTCTGAGGCACTTGAGTGAGTTCTTGATCTTGGGCCACGTTGAAATTGCGTACCATTATTTGTAACAGGAGGTTGAGTGTGTCCACTGATAACTGTAGGAGAAGAAGTATGAGTTCGTCCTATCCTTGGTCTCGAGCTATGATGTCTTCTTTGAGCCGACGGAGAAGGTAAGGCCGGTACATGACCAGTTGTAAGTACGGACATAGCGTGTGCTATCAAGGGCGCTGTATTCTGGTTTCCATTAGGGACCGGGATACTGTGCGATAAGCCTGGAGAGGGAACCGGTAATGGCATAGGTGGGAAGTAGTCAGATCCAGCTTCAGTAGGCCGTGCTTCTTCATAATATACCGGATGTCCATTGGGCCTAGGAGATGGTTTTGGTGTTCTTCTAACGGGTACATCAATTACTAACGCTTCATCCACTGTTTGACCACCAGGAAAATATGCATCGAGTGTTCGGCTCATCGGCTCTTCTGGTCCTAAAATTCTTTCCTGCCTCTGTTGCTCTCTTGGTATAATCCTTAATGTAACATCCGGCGCATCAAAACTTCTTCCTAACGAATTCGCATATTTCTTCAATATCATATCTCGCACATCATCGACCAAATCATCCTCATGTATTGTAACTAATGTCGCAGAAGCACCGGGCCTTTTAACCCATATCTTTCGAGTAACCATCGCTGCGCTTATCGTTAAAGCTCCGTGATTGGAAAAATAATCAGCACCAAGAAATCCTCCCGTTGGTATGCTGTTGTTGACTTGAGGTCGTGCCGGTAATTCTGCTTCTAACAAAGTCTTAATTAATTTTGTTTGTTGATGGGGAAGTAAACTTTGTCGTCTAGATAATTCGGGTTTTCGAGGCGTAGGTTGATGAGTAGTGCTGTTTGAACTGATAGGGCTTTGCGGTATCGAATTACCAAATTTCACGTCTTTAGGTTCTGGATGCGGCTCGTCCTGAATTTCATCCTTTGCTTCTGCTTCCTCCTCTTCGTCTTCTTCCAACACCCGCGGTATATCTGTATTCGGAGTTAGAAAATCTGTTGACGTGGAAAAACTATCGTGTTTATTATTCTCTTCTTCGATAATCAATTTTGAATTGGCGAAAGGTTGTTGTTTGAAATTTGGTGTTGATGGTGAAGTTGTCTGTGAATGTTGATGAAGTTGTTGTTGCAGATCGCTACTCATACTATTTTGAAAGTTTAACCTTAGTTCGGCGCCAATTCCATCTCCCTGTTGGTAGCCTTCTCCTCCTCCTCCTCCCCCTCCCCTTTCCCCTCCGTCCCCTCCGCTTCCTTCGATACCGATATTATCATTATCGTGAACTTCAACCTGAATTATTTCTTCAAACCTTGACGTTTCTTTTGGACTTTGATTACGACTTTCAACCATACTATTCCGATTACCAGAACCTGTACCCGTACCATTCCTTGACGACCCATTTGTTGAACCTCCATATATCGATGTTCGATGCAATCTGAAACTCGCTTTTTCTCGTAAAGT